CTGCCCAGCCTGGCTTTGAACCGTGATCCTCAGATCTCAGCCTCCTGAGTAGCTAGGATTACAGGCGTGAGCCACTGGTACTCAGCTATTTGAAATTTTCTAAGAGAATTGATCTTCAGTCAATTAATCACAGGCATATATATGGTAACTATGTGAAGTGATGAGCATGTTAATTCTCATGATTGTAGGGATGTTTTCACAGTATATATGAATATCAAAACATGTTAATTGTCAATTAGGTTAGATTAGGAAGTGCCTAGGGAATTAGGAAAACATACCTCTGGATGTGTCTTCAGAGGTGTTTCCAGATAGGAAGCATTGCCCTGAACCTCGGCAGCACCATCTCACAGGCTGAAGGCCTAAATGTAAAAACAGGAGAAAAGAGAAAGTCAGCACCCTCTTTTTCTCTCTACTTCCTGGCCATCATTATGTGAGCCACTCAGCTCCACCATGCCAATCTCACCAGGATGGACTGAAACTATGCTAAAATAAATCTTTGCACTTTTCTTTTTTTTTTAGGTATGAGACCAGGACTCAAACTCGATACCTGATACTTTCGCTCATTGGCTAGTGCTCTACCAACAAAGCCATACCTCCAACCCCATCCTCTTTTTAGGTTGTTCATGTCAAGTATTCTGTTGTAGTAATGATAAAGTACAATTTTATTGTCATTTATAACTCAATAAAACTGGCAAAAATACCCCAACAGGAAAAAATTCAGATACTCTCAAACTAATAGTTCCAATGTTATTTGAATTAAGATATGTCAATCAAGCCAGGCGCAGGTGGCTCACGCCTGTGATCCTAGGTACTCAAGAGGCTGAGATCTGAGGATTGTGGTTCAAAGCCAGTCTGGGCAGGAAAGTCCATGAGACTCTTATCTCCAATAAACCACTAGAAAATCGGAAGTGGTGCTGTGGCTCAAGTGGTAGAGCGCTTGCCTTGAGCTGAAGAGCACAGGGACAGTGCCCAAGGCAGTGCCCAAGCCCAGAGTTCAAGCCCCACGACAGACAAAAAAAAAAAGTACTACTACTAAAAGATATGTCAATCATTGGGTTGTAAATCTTTTGAATATAAATTTAATGTGAAATATTTTAAAGCAATTTGTATTAAATAAATGTAATAAGATTTCTGAACTTAATAGCTACTAATGAGTAATATTTTATTCTCAATTTGTTAAATTCTCTGTCCTCTAGATTTCATCTGGTACATATGTTATCATTGGTCTTGCTAGTTTAATAGCAACTACATGACTGCAAAAAAGAATTTTTGGGACACATAAGTTGGAAATGTCTTTTTAATATTTATTTGTTCTTTTAAAGTATATTTACTTTCAAGGTTTACTTTAATTTGGTCTTTATTTTGTAGCTTGATAGGTCCTTTCCATGAGTTCTTACAGAATTGAAAAAACCCTTATTTGTCACACAATTTCTGCAGCCAATGTCACTGTTTATAAAACTGTTTTGAATAAGGCGCACATTTTGAAGAGCCCAAACCAAGTCCTATTAAAGGGAAGTGTGTATATCTATTTGTAGGATGTTACTATTTGCTAGGCTAGAGTACTGCCGGCTTCTAAGAGCTCTTGGCTGTTGAGTTACTTGTACTCACCTTGGTCACTAAGCTTAGCCAAGAGTATTTTCAGTATATGATCTCCACATACAACGTTACCAAATTCTCTTCTTTTTCATGGTTGCCCAGAGCTAAACTTTATTCCTTCATAGGTAATCCTTTATAGTTCCTTCCAAAGATATACAATTATAAAAGTAATCCTTTATAGTCAATTACTTTATAGGTAAATCCCTATTAGTTACCATTTGCCTGGTATATTAATTATCTGCCTCTGTGTGCACTTTTGTTTATTTATTTGCCAGTTCTGGGGCTTGAACTCAGGGCCTTGGCACTGCCCCTGAGCCTCTTTGCACTCAAAGCTAGTTAGTGCTCTGCAACTTGAGCCACAGCACCATTTCCAGCTTTTCTGAGTAGTTCATTGGAGATAAGTCTCATGGACTTTCCTGCCCCATCTGGCTTCAAATTGCAGTCTTCAGATCTAAGCCTCCTGAGTAGTTGGAATTACAGGCCTGAGCCACTGGTGCCTCTGTGTGCACTTTTTTTAAAAAAATATATTACATGTCAGGTAAAGAGTACATTTCTTTTTGGATAATGGCACCCCTTCCCTCACTGTACACACTTTTAAATGTGTCCACAAACCTTCTATAAGGTCATATATAAATATACCGTCAGTGATTAAAAAATAGCACACAAGAAGCCCCTAACTAGACTTCTTGCTTGCTCTTAATTTTTCTTGTGTCATTTAGACCAGAACATTGTGAAAGGGATAGAAATGTTTATAAGACATGGTACTTGTTTCTCAAAATACCTTCGTTCAACTATGGAACCTCTCTTAACCTGCTTAAAGTGCAAGACTACAAAACCTCTTTCACAGAGCTGGAATAGGTAGGCCCTGTAGCAAGTTACCCCAACTCCCTGGGCTTCGTTTCCCCTTTAGTGAGAGATTTGGGCAATTCAGTGGTTTACACACAGTTCCAGACGTTACAAGTGCATGTGTCAATCTTCATTTTGAATTATTGTCATACACAGTCTCTTCCAGATCCTCCTCCGTTTTTCCTCTCGACCATCCAGTTTGGTTGCTACAGGAATTTAAATCTCTAGGTTCTCCTAGCTTCTTTGCCAGCTCCCCCTTCCTAATTCCCACAATTCCAGCCAAGCAGTCTGCGAGCTCACTTTGTTCTTTGCTGTCTCTGCTCTGTTTTGCACAGGTCTGACCTTGGTCCTTGGGAGACATTCAGTGCCCACTCCATTATCCAGAGCTGTTCCTCCTCGCCTGATGGCTTCCGACCTTGCTGCCCCCACAATTACACTCCTATCACTCAGATGTTGCTTTAGTTTACGCAGTTAGGAACCAACTCTTCTGCCTGATACCAGCAGCAAGAGGTTCTTAAAAAAGAACAAAAAAAAAGCAGCTGAATTGAGTTGAATTGACTGAAGTCTCTGAAATCAACATTCCCCAAACTCCAGCTCCTGGCACTTGTCTCCTGTCAAACATTAGCATCTCTACAATTCTTAAGGACAGTTTGTTTATTCTGGCCCCAACCAGACTCTCAAACCCACTTATTGGTGAGACAGCCGACCCGGTTAGGGATGGGGGTTGGCAGAAAAGAGGGAACTGGACCATACCGTTCATTGTGAGTTATAGTATTTTTTAAGTGTTCCTGCCCTTTCCCCTCACAAATCCTTTTGTTAGAGAACACTTGTGTCCAATCCTATGATTCAGCAATTTCCTCTTCTGGACCCTTTCACTCGGGGGCCGCAGCTGCTGCAGACCCTTACGAAACAGAATCCACACAATGAAACAGCTAAAGAGATAGGTTTGCAAATTGGGAGCGTTAATCTCAAGAGAACGGAAGAAAAGGTTGGCCAGTCCCACGATTGCGCAAATAAGTGAATAGCCTTAGTATACAAAGAGGTAACGGCCCTCCAAGAAAAGACGGCTGGAGCAGTGGCTCTCCATTTCCCGGCCTGGGGGGTAGGGGGGGACACACACTGCCCTTTGATGTCTTTGGATGAGTTCTACCTCCTTTTCAGAGGGCAAGGCTGCAGTAGCTGGCAGCTATGCGGGGCAAGTCTGGGAAGAAATGAGGACTGCATGTGGAGTCCTAAGTAGGTTCAGAATCAACTAGATTGGGAATGTGAACCTCTAACAGACCTTGCTCAAGAGGAAGGGAGCTGCACCCAGGCCCCTCAGGAGTTTTTGGCCCTCCTAAGAGGATCAGGATGGGAGGGAAGTGCCTTTCAAAGGGTGTTCTGTCACCCTTTCTGACACTCAAAGGGGCTTCCTTTGCCCTGTCCAATGCTCAGAAGCAGAGACCTCTGATGTCGAGGTGTCTTTTCGACTACTGCTGCCCCCAAACATTGAATAATGAGGAGCGCTTGGGCTCACCACCCCCAATTCTTCTGAAGTTACGTCCTTCCTGGCGGTTTGTACGCTCTAGACGTGACGTCCAGGGAGTTTGGGGACACTCAAATGCTTAAAGCACAAAGACACCACTGCCAATATGGGGGGGGGAGGGGGCAGGGGTAATGGGATCTTTGTCAGCACCCGGTGAGGGGGGCAGTCAAGGAGTCACGAGCAGCCCTCCCCTCCTTCCCTTCCCCTTTCCCTTGACCTGGTGGGCTGGTTTAGTCTGTCCACACCCACTCGGAGCCGCGGACCTGTGACCCCGCTGAGGCGACTGCGGGGGGCCCCGCAGGCCGGCAGCCACTCTTGTTTTCTTTTCCTGTCACTTTTTCTTTCTTGCCCCTCCCTTCTCCGTCCTTGGGGCTCGGAACAGCTGCTGCCGTAGCTCCTAACTTTGTGCCTTTCTTCTGCCCCCAACGGCTGTTGGCGTGCTTGGAGACGAAGAAGGGTGGCCCCGCCAAGGGGGCGTGAGCAGACTCCACAGGGATTTCTGTGGCGGGAGGGGGCCCGGACCGTGAGGTGACCGGATGGAACGCGCCGAATAGCACGAGGCGGTGTGAGGCGGGGTGGAGGTTAGGGGTTGAGGGGGCGGGGCGGGGCGGGGCTGGGCGGGGCCACGAGGCCACGGGCAGAATTCGCCTGTTGCTGGGATGCTGATGGATAGGGTTACACGGCTGCTGGGGCCGCCTCAAGTAGGTGAGGGGATATTTTTGGAGGGAAGAGTTTCGGAGTTTGGGGTCCGAAACGGGGGTAAAGGGGAAAGGGAAGGCAAAAGTTTCTTCTACCTCGAGACCTCGGTTTAGCTTGGGACCTTATAAAAGGCGCGTTCCTTTGCCAGCCTTCGAGTGCCGCAAGGACCTTCCTTTCCGGCCATGTAGGTCCCGCCCCGCGCCCCCTTTCTTCGCTTAGCTTCACTTGCTTGTCTTTTGTATTTGTGACTACTTTTCCAGTCCTGTCTTTTATCCTTCTTAATCCTAGATGGAACCCTGTTGCTCAGTCACTTACGCTAGCTGAAACACACCGTCCCAATTGGGGAAATACCTGAAGAGTGACTTGCTTTGGGAGAATCGTTTTCAGTCTACTTTGTGAGTTGCTTGATTTGGGCGTTCCGAGGGTTCAGAAAACTATATACGGGAAATTTTGTCTAGTTATGCCCAGTGTGGTTTTTCATCCTGCTTTATTTGCCCTCCATTTTTTTATTTTTTATTTTTTCTTGCTTTTTGATAGACTGACTGGTAAGTCAGCAAGGCACTTATTAAACTAAAGGGAGAAATGTAAATGTCATGTGATTTTACATAGGACTGTTGCTCTACGTTGAGCATCTTTTAAATTAAAGGGATCATGATGTATTTGTGATTTAGAGTGGAAAGTTGTTTTAAAAATCATTCAGGTTCCCCCCCCCCTGCATTTTTACATCGTGCCTTGGAAATACCTGCTGTATCTCTGAATCATTAGCTTTTCTAAAGCCGAAAAGAAAACGAACTGATAAATTCCCTTGCCATCTCTACTGTATATTGTTATTATTATCAATTATCAATATTTTAATTGAATGGGTGCTCGATGAAACTCCTTAGGTCAAGTTGTCTGGGTTTTTCTCTTGTATAATTACAACTTACTTAATTTTGTTCTTTTTATAAGTCACCACTTGACAATAAACCAAATTACTTCTTTTCAGGGAGTTTTGCTGATGCCTAATTTGTTTAAGAATTTAAAAACTATTTTTTCAGTATTCTGACAAATTCTCAAAGAAATCAAGAAATTTAAACATTAACTCATAAAAACACCTGAAAGGGAAGAGAGGAAGGAATTTTTTCCTACCTCTAGGTGCCACAGACCAAACCTACTCCCCTTGCCTTGCTCTAGCGCTCTAGCACATGCCACCACCTCCCCCTTGGACATTCCACTTAATGAATATAAGTGAAATTTGATTCTCCAAGTAATATCTATGTCATATAGAGTGGGTGACAAGCGTATCACAAAGCTTTCGTGGTTTATTTTGTAAATGACCACTACAATTTTTGACAATACCTTATGCTCTTCATATTTGTGTTGCAAAGAGTGGAGAAATAGTTACTGGAATCTGGTGCATAGTTTTCCACCATCTATGTAATATATATTCCTATTAATCACAAATAAAGGAATAAAAGGTTCATAGAGTATGGCAAATTAAAAATAATGTATATCCTGAGAATACCTTTAATTAATTCCCATTAACAAAACTTTAAAGACTTGTCACCTACTGCTTTTCAAGCTCAAAAAAATAGAAGACTGATTTGTAAAGTTATTAATAATGTCTTTTTCATTCAAAACTAAAAAGAAGAATGATAGAATTTGTAAATCATAGCTTTTTTTCAGTAACTTTTCCACCTGTTTTTGTGTCCCTCTTGGAGCAAATCTGTGTTGAAATCATTCCAGACAGTGTTGGCTTCAAGTTCATCCTTCTTATGTGCCAGATTTAGCTAGAAGAACAAGTACCTTTTACAACTTTGCCTTCTCTTATTAAACCTTTGAAGGGCTTATTGTAAAATCATTTTAACCTCTTAATTTGAATTGGTCTATTCTCATAAGTACAAGCCTGACATCCTAGCTTCCCAAATCCAGCTTTAAGCTCTGGACAAAATTTCTTGTGTTTTATCCACTAAAATTAAATTGATAAAACTGAATTTTAGTTTCCTTTCAACTATATATGCAGAGTGCTATAAATTGAAATTGCAGTTCCTAATGTCATATATTTTGAGAAAACATAAATTTTAATGATCTACTTAACCTGTCAGCTTCCAAGAACTCTAAAACCTTAACACAAGAGAGGTATTGTGTGTGTTTTGCTTTTTATATTTGTTTTACGGTGATTTTGAATGTTTTCATTGGTGAATGAAAACAAAACTTATCAAACGCTCTTATTCTGGTATAACTGCATTACTTGACAAATTATGATAAAAGAAAAACTGATAAGTATAAATTCACTAAATATGCACTATTTTTTCTGTGCCAGTCTTGGGGCTTGAACTAAGAGCACTGTCCCTGAACTTTTGTGCTCAAGGCTCCCAGCTACCATTTGAGCCACAGCTCTACTTCCAGCTTTTTTGTAGTTAATTCAAGAGTCTCATAGACTTTTCTGCCCAGGCTGGCTTTAAACTGCAATCCTCAGATCTCAGCCTCATGAGTAGCTAGGATTACGGGCATGAGCCAACATTGCCCAGCTGCTCTATTTATTTATGTATGTTTTCTAAAAGGGAATAGTTTGTTATACTTACATGTTTCAATGACTTGAAATAGTTCATTGGGCTGCTGGCGTGGCTCAAGCAGTAGAGTGGCCACCCATGAACAACATTGAAAGAAGGGTACAAGCCCCCGTTCTGGCAAAAAAAAATCATCTATGTGAAAATTCAGATTTTTGTAATAACTGAAATATGCAATGTTTTATTTAACATTTTAATTTAATCATACTTTTTAATTCAGCATAATTTGATTTTCAGTTTCAATCTGAAAACCTAAATTCAGTAGCCTTTCTAAAATTAAAGAATTGGTAGCATTTTAAGATCAACCTTCCTAATGATAGCCACTGTTCCTCTATTTTAAAATATTATACTATTTTTTCTTTATTTTTTGCCTGTCCTAGGGCTTGAACTCAGAGCCTGGACATTGTCCCTGAGCCTCTTTGTACTCAATGCTAGAATTCTACCACTTAAGCCACAGCACCACTTTTCTGGCTTTTTCTAAGTAGCTTATTGAAGACAGTCTCATGGACTTTTCTGCCTGGGCTGGTTTCAAACCGTGATCCTCATATCTCTGCCTCCTGAGTAACTCAGATTACAGGCATGAGCCACCAGCACCTGGCTTACTATTCTATTAAATGCAGGAAATTTAGTAGATGTTGGAGAATAAAATAGTTTTGATCAAAATTATGTGACATCCAGGGCTAGGAAGGTGGCTCCGTGGTAGAGTGCTTGCTGGCATGCGTGAGGTCCTGGGTTCGATTCCTCAGCACCACATAAACAGAAAAAGCCAGAAGTAGCTCTGTGGCTCAAGTGGTAGAGTGCTAGCCTTGAGCTAAGAAGCACAGGGACCAGGCCCAGAGTTCAGGCCCCATGACCAAAAAAAAAGATTTCTATAAATACATCTCTTTTGCTGATGTCACAATCTTTTTTTTTTTTTTTTTTTTTTGTCAGTCATGGGGCTTGAACTCTGGGCCTAGGCACTATCCCTTGGCTCTTCAGCTCAAGGCTAGGGCTCTACCACCTGAGCCACAGCACCACTTCCGGCTTTTTCTGCTTATATGGTGCTGAAAAATCAAACCCAGGGACTCATGCATGCAATGCAAGCACTCTACCACTGAGCCACCTTCCCAGCCCTTTATAGAAATCTTAATCTAATACAATAACTTATTTCATCTTCATTCTTTAAAATAGTTTTACCTAACAGAAATCATTAATTTCATCAAAGGGCAAAGGGCAGCAACATTCAAATAGACACTCAGGCTCTTTCTAAGAATTGTGACACAAGCCCCACAACCGACCAAAAAAATTGTAACACATATAACATATAGCCCCCACAAATCATTGCCAGACTTTAGTTTTTTTAAGGTAGCATAAGTGTTTTTAATGGGGAAACTTTGGGGTTAGAAATGTCATGCTAGGGGCTGGGAAGGTGGCTCAGTGGTAGAGCCCTTGCCTTGCATGCATGAGGCCCTGGGTTCAATTCCTCAGCACCACATAAGCAAAAAAGAAAAAAAAAGCTGGAAGTGGTGCTGTGGCTCAAGTGGTAGAGCACTAGCCTTAGCTGAAGAGCTGAGGGACAGCGCCCAAGCCCAGAGTTCAGGCCCCATGACCGGACCCCCCCCCAAAAAAAAGAAATGTCATACTAGGGGCTGGGGTTTAGCTCAGCGGAAGAGCACCTGCCTGGTGAGTGCAAGGCCCTGAGTTCAGTCCTCAGCTCTGGGGGAAAAAAAAAAGCTATAGAAATGTCATACTACCACGTGGTTCCTGGCTCACTCTTGGAATCCTAGCTACTTGAGAGGCTGAGATCTGGAAGATTGTGATTTAGGTCAGCCAAGGCAGAAACGTCTACAAAACCCTATTTCCAGTTAGCCAGCAAAAAGCTGGGCTGCAGGCATGGCTCAAGTAATAGAATACCAACTATGAGCTGGAGGCCCAAGTTCAACTTACTTTTTTTTGGGGGGGGTCCGGTCGTGGGGCCTGAATTCTGGGCCTGGGAGCTGTCCCTCAGCTCTTCAGCTCAAGGCTAGCGCTCTACTACTTGAGCCACAGCACCACTTCTGGCTTTTTTCTTTTTTTGCTTATGTGGTGCTGAGGAATCGAACCCAGGGCCTCATGCATGCAAGGCAAGCGCTCTACCACTGAGTCACCTTCCCAGCCCCTCAAGTTCAACTTATTGATATTGGCAAAAGAAAAGAAAAGGATAAAAGCCATACTTGTTCATATTGATAAGCATTCTTCCCTGTAGTCCCTACCTTGTCCAAAAGACACTACATGAAGAATATAATTCTCTTTTATGACATCAGCCTCAGAAAACTAGACAGGTATCTATTTACAGATTTCTATATAACCCAATATTGAACTCAGAGCCTTGTGCTTTCAGACTTTTTACTCAAACCTAGCACTCTACCATTTGAACCACATCTCTGCTTCTGGCTTTTTGCTAGTTAATTGGCAGATAAGAGTATCTGAAATGATCTAGCTTTAGTTTTCTACAAGTAGTTAACCAATTTTGCCAGCACCATTTACTGAAGAGGCTGTCTTTCTTCCATTCTATATTTTTAGCTCCCTTATCGAAGATTAGATGGCTATAGGTTCATTTCTGGGTTTCAATTCTATTCCATTGGTCCTGAGGTCTGTTCTTGTGCCAGTACCAAGCTGTTTTGATTACTATGGCTTTATAGTAGAGTTTGAAATTTGGTATTGATATTCCTCCAGCACTGTTCTTTCTGTTGAGGATTGTTTTTGCTATTCGGAGTCTTTGATTGTTCCATATGAATTTTTGGATTGCCTCTTCTATTTCCTTGAAGAATGAGGTTGGAATTTTGATAGGTATCGCATTGAATTTGTAGATAGCCTTGGGAAGTATC